TAATAGAACTGATAATGTTAGTTACTTTAATCTTTAGACATTTTCGTGTAGTCTTGTGTAGTCTTTAGACATTTTCGTGTGGCAATTTTAATTTAAGCATTAATTTTCGTGTGGCATTTGTAAGATTAAATAAAAACAACAACTTAAGTCGGAAACGAACTAATAAACATATATTTAAGAAAAGAAGTGTGTATAACTTATAACTATAGTGCGGTGATAATAAGAACGAATACATTTCATTTAGAAAAACAACAACTTGTAAATAAAAAATAGAGAGATTAAGAGAGAGATTTAGCGATGTGAGGAGGAAGGAGAAGCAGAAGAAGTTAGGTTTTTGCGAACATATTTGCGAGCCCAAACATGCTTACTATTAATAGTGAACTTGTTTCTACTTCTTCSACGCYCAARCTGTTCCATCTTCGACACATAARACATCTTCAACACCATCCTCGCATATAATGGCTGCTCATTCTCTTCCACTTCTTGCATCACTATCTCTTCTATCACTTCCCCAAATCTCCTCMTGAAAAAAACCCTAACTTCCTCTTCGGAAATCGGATATCCTTTCGAAAACGTCAGAAAAACCGTCCTATCATCCGCCGCAATCACTGCCTCCTCCTCCTCTGCCGCCGTGTCTTCCACCACCTTGTTTGATTCTTCTTCAACAGGAGGAGGAGTAGGAACCCTTACTTGTTGAACACTTGACCTACAAGCTTGTGGAACACCTAACCCGACTTTCTTCAAATTCTCAATGGCTTTCTCTCTTCCCATAGCCAAGATCTTCTCCTTTTCATCCCTCTCCGCTCTCTCGCATAGATCTTCGAAAGCTCGGTCACAGACATCAATCAAAATGCTTGTCAATCCACGGAGTAAACTTTTGCGGTTTTGGTTGATAACATTGAGACCAAGCCTGCCTCCAGTAATTCGTATGATCAAAGGTATAAGCGATTGATCATAGTCGTTATTGTTGTTGTTCGGATCTACGAACATAAATGCATAGTAATCTTTGTGGAATAAGAAACTTAAGCAAACAAGGGTTTGCTTAGCCACCGCATCGATGAATGCGTCTGGTGATGAGACAAGAGAAGAGATTAAGTTACGAGCGTAATGGTTTTGTTCAAGCAAGAAGAGAAAACCAATCAGTTGAATCGATTCGATCATGTCTCGGTTTAGATCAAAGACAAGACGGGTGAATAGAGTTCTGTCAATTTTGTGAAAAGCATTAAACTCTTCACTTGTTATCGTTACAGAAGGTGATGAAGACCAAGAAGAAAAAGAAGGAGTGTTTGATAAAAGGGAAGAAAAAGGAGAAGCCATGATGATTTTTGTTTGATTTTTCTTAAAGGCGATAATGATGTGATTATCTGAGTTTTTAGACAGAGATTATATAGCGTCCATTGAAATGGTGAAGGGATACAACGTTGATTGTTTTGTTCTCTCGTTCATGTCTCTAATTAATTTCGTTGAATAGTCATAACCTTTTAAGTTAAGAGAGTCTCTGCATGGCTTAGTGATAAGTCATGAACCATTTGGTCATACCGTATCCATAATATTCTTTTTTCGTCTCATTTTCCTAATTTTTCTTCCCTTTGCATTTAATTTTAATGAATTTAATTATTGTTTGGTTGATTTTTTTTTATAGAATTTGTAATCGAGTGAATTGTATTAGTGTTTATCATGTTATAGTTGAAACTATTTGTTTTTCCGACAAATCAAATACTTTATTATACATAAAAAGTTTACAAAATACAAAAACATTTTCAATATAACATATTTACTAAACGATAAAAAGGTTAATATTATTTTAGAACTAGATGAACACTCGTATACACACGAGGATTGTTTTAAATAAATTTTGAATATAAGATTTTGATAGACTATCATACAATCTATTTTTCACAATCAAATGTTCTTTAATTTTTCTATTATATTTTTGATTTTTATAGGTTCATTAGACGATCTATTGCTTTATAGAAAATCTGGTAAAATCAAATTTCTAAATTCGAACACTCGGTTACTTGACTAAATAATTTTCGATACTTTTTATATGTATGGAATTATTCTTGTTACGTACACCATAATTTATTGATATTTTGAATTGATTACATATGTGTATGGCATTTTATATGTCATAGATGATTTGTATTCGAGTAAGATATTTTGATAGAATATCATATAATTCATTTTTCATAATTGAATTTTTTTTTTTTTTTGTTAAAACAGAAACAACTTGCAAAACAGGAAGCTCTTAGAAATCGAAACCGACATGTAACATATTCTATAGGTAATTAGGTCAAAGTTTAGAAAAATATATCTTATGTTTAACTTAAAACCGTATTGTACACGTATGTGGGTAGGGAATCATTCGAGAGAGAACAAGGCACACGTCGAGGGAGAAGAAGGAGAATCGACCATGCATCTAGATGGGTTTCTTCAGCGAAGGAGGATGGGTTTCAAGTTAGACCACGATATTATTCGTTCATGAATCTCCCTTTCTCCCTTTGTCAAGAGATTGATTAACTAGTTCATGAAACTTAAGAAATTCTCAATAACCTGAGAAACGTGGATAAGGCAGTCTTGATCAGGCTTCGCTTTTGCTCTCCGGTTACCTTTCAAGTAAAAAACAAAGGGTTGTATACTTTTTCTTCCTTTGGTTCTTCTTTAACTTCATATAGAGATATTTTACAATAACATGCAATATGCATATATGAATTTCGATAGTTGTAGACTTGTAGTACAATGTCGAAGATGACGCGAACCATTACTTTTTACACTTTTTTGTAAACTTTGTAGTTTGTATACAATATTTTCAGAGATATATAACAATCGATA